CGACTTGTGCGAGAACAGTCGCTCCGCATCCCTGCGAGGTTGTTCCCGCAATCTTCTTTGGTGCCGCAGTCGAGGAGGAGGCCGGGGCATTCCAAGCATTCGGGTCTTCGCCATCATCCTCGCCATACATTTCGTCCCAGGTGGAACAGTCATGCTCCAATCCTGAGCCATAGGCTTGAACAGTCGGAACCATGGTGTGTCCCATCAGTCGCCATTCGGTCAGGCCACTGTTCGGAAGGGTGGCCAGACGATTCCAGTCCATCATTTCGGAGAGGCAAAGGAGCTGAGGGCCACTCTGGGCATAGCTCATTGCATCGTCCATTGACATTCGGATGATGCCCATGCTCATTCTGGATGCATCAGTCGGGACAGTCCAAGTCCATCGGCTTGGAACACTCTTCTCCTCATTCTCCACATGGATGCCATTCTGCGTGCTGATATGGTCAGTGAACTGACGATTGAAATAATTGTTCAGTTTCATTTTCTTGGCACCAGTGGTCACTCCGGTCCATTCCCGGACGGCTTCTGCAGTCGATCTCCGGCGCACTACGAAGACCCGTCTTTCATACGGGGCATTCTCGTCGAACACTCCCTGGCAGAACCATTGAACAGTCTTCCTCATTGCCGTCAGTGCACAGAAGCTGCCAGCTGGTGGCAGGGAAACCTGCCCAGGTCAATCTCGCCAGTCTCAAAGTAGCGCTGGCCAACGCTCGACGGCTGTAGGATCCAGTCGTAGACATGGACCAAGTCATGGACCAGGTTGTCGTAGTCAGTCGGGTCCATGTGCCATTTGATCTCCCAGGTTCCTTTGGTGAGGAACATTCTCTCCGCCTTGGTCATTGCGAACCAACCAGTTTCCAACATGCACTGATTGACATTGTTGGTGACAGTCGACCTGATCTGCAGAGAGTTCATTCTCAACCTAAGGCTCGACATCGGGCCATTGCTGTGTTCATCAGGATGCTCAAATCGGCATCCCGACAGTCCTCCACTTCTTGTACCAGGCAGGTGGAGGGAGATAATGGGGCATTCCTCACTCCGCTCTCTCTTGTAAACAGCTTCGGCCAGTCGGATCTGCGCATCCATCATTCTGTTGGCCATTTGGCACGCGTCATTCTCGATCTTGTCCATTGCATCTTGGCTGTCGACAGTGACATAGTCATCCAGTCGTCTCCAAATCTTCTTCAAATCTGTGCCAAGATCCATCAGGTTCAGTGCGTTACACACTTCCCGATTCACTTTGCCATTCCTTGACAGTGGGTGATCCCACACTTTCTCGCACATCAGGTGCGTCGTGTCAATCGGGGGAGCCATCCACGATCTCCCAGTCGAGACAGTTGCAGTCTCCGAGGCATTCGCAGCATTCGCGGCAGGAACAGCTGCCGAGGCGGTGGCCTCATCCGGGCCAGGCCTGATTCCCAGTGCTGCATCAATCTGCTGAAGTCCATTCATGACTTCAGCGACCATTACCTCGTCTGCATTCGTCCCCAGTGGGACTTCCACCACAAGCACTCCAGCTGCATTCGGATCTGGCCTCACTCTCGCGAAGGCAGTCGGGCGAACAAAGGACTCTCCAGTCGCCGGTCGGATCAGGTCAAGCCGATCCTCAGGCACTCCACCGAAACCATGCAGTGCTACCAGTGAGGTCTGCACTCCATCTCTCTTCACTTCCTCGACCGACATTCCCATCAGGTTGGCCACTTGCTGCGCCAACTCCTCTCCAGTCATTTCTTCATACTGGAGCTCAGGAACAGTCGACAAGGTCGGGGAGGCTGCCATTGCTGCAGTCAGGCAAAGAAGCAGTCGCACAGGCAATCAGAGCAATCTACAGTCGCACTAAGGAAGCAATCAGAGGAAACATTCCGGGGAAACACATTGATCTCACTTCACAAGGCATTGTCTCAGACAGTCCCTTGCACGGCACTTGCAATCACTCGACATTTGACGAGGAAAGGATCGATGGAAAACATTTTCGAAAGGATCTCATTCGAGACCGGAAACTCGAACATTCTTTGGTTTCGAGAAACAAAATATTTCAGTCGGAAAACTCATTCAGAAATTCCTCTCATTCTCTCACACTCTCTTTCTTTGGTGTTGGGGTTTTCGGGAAACACAAACAGCGCACATGCAGTCATGACAAGCAATCGGCTTCACTTTACATTATTAGACCGCATTGACATGCTGCATTCACTCACTCAAGGACATGCACACTGCAATCGGAAGCTTCATGCTCACAGTCCCTCGGCGCGGACTTCAGTCCAGCGACGCCCAGAGAAGCATTCACGCACAGCGCACGCAGAGCACACGCACGCACAGTGGAGAGAACGCGCAATAGGGCGGGTGGGCGGGGACATTGTATGAGCATTCAGGGCGGCAACATGATCATCAGTATCATGAGCATCAGTTGCTGCGGTGTCCTTGAACCAGTTGTCGGCCACTCCTATAAAAGTCTTCAATCTTTGCAACACATCAGTGGCAACATGCAACATACTTGGTCATTAAATCTGCGGGATTCCACACACCCTCAATCTTGGCCATTCGAAGAAGGCACATTTGCACCAGATTCTGCATGTATAAGAACCTCAGTTCAACATGCTTCGTTTTCTTTCCAGTGCCAAAGCGGGTCACCATTGATTTACCGGCAGTGGAATCAGTGTGGGCGATCACATTGACTTTCTTTGCCAGTCCAGATTCCAACAACATGGATCGGAGAAACAGTGCCTCAGACACTCCTTGTCCAATCGCATACAACTCTGCTTCGCCGGAAGACAACGCAACAGTCCCTTGAGTCCGGGCGGCGCTAATCATGTTGCACCCAAGCACATTGACAGTGGACCCACTCGTGGACTTTCTTGTCTTGTTGCATCCAGCCCAATCCGAATCAACAAAGACATTCACATCCACCGTACAGTTGCCATCAGCCAACTGATAGGTAGGACGCAGTCTCAAGACACACATTTTAGTACCAATCAGGTATCGCAACAAA